GGGTCCTTCTCCTCCAGGAGGAAAGTGGCACACCCACCTCACTGACCACCGCGCCCCTGCCCACGTGAAAGACACGCCGGCCCTCAGGGGCTGCACGCACGCGGCTCCATCACACCAGACGGCAGGACAAGGAGAAAGGTATAACTGAGCTCTCCTCTCAGCTTTCTGGTCTCTCACCCCCTCCCACCCACCCTGAGTCCACCCCTTCCCACCAGCGCCTGCAACTGTGCCCCCCACCCCCTACCCCGGGTGCACTCCGAGGAGCCTAGGGAACAGGACACTGCCATCAGTCCAGCCGAAGACAGCCACCTTCAGGGGTGGCCCAGGCCGGCTTGCTGTACTGGGGTGGGGGCCGCAGAGGCATCTTTTCCTGGCCCTGGAGGAGGCAGAAGGCTGAAGAACAAACTGAACCGGGAGCAATCTGACTTGGGCCTCGGCCTCGCCTCTCCCTGCACTCCAGCTTGGGGGGGGGACCCGCACGGCAGCCAGTGCAGTGCTCGATCAGCAGACCCCAGTTAAACCAGCCCAGGGCCCCACAGCTGGCTGCCTGTTCCCCTGCAGTCGTTCTCAGCTGGGGGTCGGGGGTCAACCCAGAGCTCTGGGCCCATCCCAGGCTCCAGGCAGGGAGCTCCTGACTCCCACCCACCACAGCAGTGACAGCGAATCCTGAGCAGGAAACGCTCTGTCCATGGGAAGCACCGCCAATCCGATGCGCCAGTGGGGAGAGGCCAGTCCCCGCAACCTGTGCCAGTGGAGATGTGCGCGCGCGCTCGTGCAGGTGAGGGGCACCGGGAGGAGGGCTGCAGACGTCCTCCCAACCACAGGGCTGCACACCCAGGGGGCGCTTTCTAAGAGACACCTCTCACCCCGCAGCTCTCCCAGACCACAGCAAGGGCACCTGCTGTCAACAACACACCAACCAGAACCGGCTGGGCCTGCACCTGGTGCAGGCACTCCTGACGCCGCGCCAAAGGTCACAAACCAGACCGGCTCCACAAGGCCAGGTAAACACCGGCAAACAGACCTCCCTGCAGTCTGGTGCTGCCCAGCCCGGGATGGCCCTGCCACCAACACACGGGGGGCGCCCACTGCCCAGAGGCACCACCAGCTTGTGCAACGCCGTGTGCCGAGCAGAGCCCTGGCAGCGGGCATGTTCTTGTTCCCAGCAGTGTCAGCAGGTTCCCGCCACACAGGAAGTCAAGTCCCCTGACCTGGTAAACAGGGGCCCTGGCTACCCACTTGGTGTCCAGTGGGCCAGTCAGAGGAGGCTGTGAGGTTATCAGGGAGGGATGGTAGGTACCCTGGTGAACTCAAAGTTGTCCGGAACCTGCCCACCTCGGTGGGCTCAGGTGGACGGGCTGACCACAAGACACAGGGATCCGGAGTGGCTGGGATTCCTTTCCGACGAGACCACCAGTTGTCAGAAGACTGAGTGAGCCACGGACGCTCTCTCCAGGTAGACCAGGCGCTCCCACTGAGCAGTCATCTGGCACTGCTGGCCCACCCCCATCTGATACCACAGTTTAACCCTTTTAAGTCCAGAGTATTTTTCTGCGTTGAAGTTTCTGTTGGCATCGTATTTTCAGTAATACCAGGCATTTAGAATAAAATGGGAGGGGAAAAAAACCCTGCAGTAATGTTGGGCTTGGACACAATTGGGAGTTTGGGGGGAAGGTTGGCGGGACGAGACTGGTTTCTTTAGATTCATACAATAACACAGCCCCCCCACCAGATGGCACTGCACACTAAAAGTGGGACAGGAGAATCCCACTAAATCCCTGTGGTGCAAAATGTAGTTGCACTACCTGTCCCAGGGGGCCAAGAAATGGTTATAATTCAGAAAGCGGCCTGGTTCTGTTTCTGTGGGCAGTGTGAAAGGGATTGGGACACACACACGTAATTTAGAAATGTCTCAATGAGAAAACCTGAGCTAAAACCAGCATGTCTGCACAGACAGAATGCCGTGGGCTCCTCACCAGGGTGACGCACGCGGCTGCTCATTAAGCGGATCGTAGAGCCTTGTGCCCGTGGCTCCATTATGACCCACCCCTGGAGAGTCGGTTCAGGCTCAAGTCCACCACCTTGGCCCGTTATGACTGCCTCTGCTGGCAGCTCCTCTCCAGGGGCCGGTCTTCAGGGGACGCCAGCAGCTTCAGGCGTGTGCCACTAGCTCGTGGAAAGAGCAGCCTGAGGGTGCTGCTGTATACCGAACATGCTCGAGTGGGGGCGATGACAGTCAGTCTTCCCACGATGAAAGGCAGGAACATTGCACGACCACCGACACTTACCTTCACCTGACTCAGACTTGACCGAGCACAGTGAATCTTCTCAAGAGCAGACCGATGGACTGGAGAGAGGGTCAAACCATATTCAACTTAAGCGTTTGAGAGCTCGTCTTCCAACGGAGGCGGAGAAAAGCAAAAAGAAGGCTCCCCTGACACACACTTCTAGCACCTAAAAGCGAGGTCATGTCCCTTCTGACTCTGGGCAGCCTCACGCGTGGCAGGGTAGAGCTGTGCTCCACGGGCAAGGAGCACCCACCCGGTGGCTAATCAGAGGTGCAAGGTTCCCGTCCCCCCCAGACAGCCGTTGTGAGTCAGTGAGTGAGTCACTTGGGAGCGGTGCCTCCAATCCATTTCTGAGACGTCAGCCATGCACCCACCCCCGCAGCTGCCACGGCGGGTGGAGCTCAGCCACACCCACCCTGGCTACTTTCACAGGAGCCTCGAGACGTGGCTGCAAAGGCCACGCATACATGACTCTGGTTACAACCATTCCTATGTGCCCGAGAGACTTAACCCAACCTACCCAACCAAGCAGCACACATGGCGGCAGACCCAGATTAAAACAAAATGAACCCTCTCTACAAACAAAGCCAACACCAACCAGCCCACCCCCACCTCCGGCCTCTGCCCAGCAGGATGCCAGGCCGGGATGTGTGCTCTCTAATGGCAGAGATAGGCTGTGAGTCACATGGGAACACCCCGTGTACCTGTGAGAACACTGAACCTGGGGTCCACCTGCAGCACAGGGTCTGAACTCGCTGGTAAAGGGGAGCCCGTGTGCAAAGCCACTGACGCCTCGGGTGGAAATCGACAGTCGGTGGGAACAGAAGGGAAGTGGCTCACCACGTGCCAGGCCCGTCTCTCAACGCCGGGGTCACAGACAGCACCAGACCCAAGGCAAACTTCCCAGAAGCTACTCGGGGATGAGTAATTCCATGACCGCGGCCGCCCTGGGAAGTGACCGAGCAGAATCCACCTCCAGCCCCAAGCCCACGCTCCCCCAGGGGAGGGCCAAGTTAGGTGCGGAGGGAGAACCACACACACAACGAGGAAATGCGGAGCGCAACCAAATCTGGGTGCACACTGTTCAGGTCAGAATACAGAACGCAAAAATGGAGCACCTGGGTCCTGCAGCCTTTCCATGGGAAAGCATCCGTATAGGGAAAAGTCACACGTTATCAGAAACAGGAACTGAAGCTACCGGTTCCCAACAGGCACTGTGAGCATCACGGAACAGCAGCCCACAGACCAGCCTCGGGGGCGTGGTGTCAAGAGAGCAGCTTCTCTGGTCCCCAGGAGCTCCCCCCAGGACGGCAGGCCAGTGGGTGGGGCAGCTGCGCTCTCAGAGTGGACCAAAGGGGTAGGGTGGCCAGAGAGGAGCATGCAACGAGGTCTCGGCTTCTCCAAAGTCTAACTGATGCGCGGTCACCTCACTGCCCTGGTGGCACAGCGGGTACAGGCCGGGCTGCGAACCACCAGCTGCTCCAAGGGAGAGAAGTTCTTAGCCTGTCCTGAGCGAGAGCCAGAGCCAGAGGCCCTCCGTGGAGCCCAAGGGCTCTTTGCACCTCTCCCCCCATAGTCCCGACTGCTCCTTCCCTAGCGGCGAGCCCCTCTTCACGCGGCACCCGCCTCCCTAGGAGTCTGTCCTTAAGTGTCACAGCGCAGTGATGGGATGCACCACAGCCACACCCCGCCCCGCCCTGCCCCCTCACTCGAGCCCACCCACTGCTGCATCTCCTGGAGGGTCATGATGTCCTTCTCCAGGGACTGGTCTCCCCACGAGTCTAGTCTTTGATAAAGATGCTTTTTCCTCCCAGGGCACGGACCACTGTCCAGTGCCGCCTGGGCTGGGGCAGCCCCCTCGGGGACGGAGAATTGCTGCTTTGGTTTCCAAGACTGGCAAGCTTCACAGGGGCACACAGCGTGGCCTTTTGCTAGCAGATCAGCTGGGGGGGCTGAACCACCCAGTCTGCCCGCCATCAGCAGCCCGGAGCGGTGCGCTCAGTGGGGAGCGAGCACGGCGGGGGCGCATGACTCGGGCCTGGCTTCTCTCACGAGGCAGGAGCCCTCGTTAAACAGTCAGCCCTGGTCCTGCTCTCCCGCCAGCAGGTCAAGCAGTCCGAGCACGGAGGACAACATGGAGCTGCGAACCGTGGGACCATCACCGACGCAAAGAATTACGGTTGCTAAGTGACCCTTGTAAATATTTTGGTCAAAACATGGAAAATCCTCCTAGGGTTGTAAATGTATAAAGAGAATTTTTAAATAATTAAAAGAAAAGTACTGTGTGAGTTCAAACATTAGAACCCATCCTTGGAAACCCTCCTAGGAGCGTGATAAGGAGGTGGATTTCAAACAGTCTCTGTAGGATGCGCCTTCCCTGGTGTGAGCGCGGTCACCAGGGTCGGCGGCGCCTGTTCTGGCCGGTCAGAGACCAGAAGGCCATGGGAACGACTCGCTGACCGCGATGGCCGTCGTCACATCAGCAGGGCCGAGGCACCGGCCCACCACCGGCACCTTCCCCGCTGCACACTGCTCCC